TTTGAATGTCATGAGAAAAATCCATTGTTACACTATGTTTTCTTATGTTATGGATTTCCATTATGCTCCCCTTTTCCACCTTAATCTTTCTATAGGAACAACTGTAGGCCTACTTTTGCCTCACCCTGTTTCTCTCCCTAGGTAAAGCCTGATATCCAGTGATTTCCTCCATCATCATCATGTCTAGGTATGTGGACTAGATGTGGGGTTACCTGTCTTCCAAAATCAACTTTGATGGCATACATTTCCCTTTCAGCCTTCGTCCGAGAGGACAGTTTGTAAGGGCTCTCATTAACTTTTCTAGATAATCATTATGTATCATTCAAAACTCAATGACATGCAATTTCTTTAGTTTTAGGTGTGTGTGTGTGTGTGTGTGTGTGTTGTTGTTGTTGTTGTTGTTTTAATAGCATTACATTCTATTAGCTCAGTGGTTGGCAAACTCATTAGTCAACAGAGCCAAATATCAACAGTATAACGACTGAAATTTCTTTTGAGAGTAACAATTTTTTAAAATTAAACTTCTTCTAATGCTACTTTTTCAAAATAGACTTGTCCAGGCTATGGTATTTTGTGGAAGAGCCATATTCAAGGGGCCAAAGAGATACATGTGGCTTGTGAGCCGTGGTTTGCTGTGGTTAGCTAACAGTGACATTGTCCTGACACTCTTCTTCCTGTTCATACATCCTGTGACATTCTTCCCAAATGTGTCCCAAGATATGTTTATTCACTTTAGTCCTGAACAACTGTGGGGATATTTCTAAGAGGAAACCCTCTTAAAAACAGTCCACAATAGCAGACCACTTTCATTAATGACATCTACAATGTCAACCTCACCAAGAAGCTTACATCTCTGAGTTAATCCACAATTGCTAACAAATCAGAGACGAGGTCCCACCTGGCAGCAGTGACAAAACTCAAAGCTTCCCAGGTTGTTTTCCAGGCCACAGTGTGTCCACTGGTATTACTTTGCTTAGTTCGAAGCATGCCAGGATGTACTTCTCTGGTTAGTATATAAACCAGAAGAAAGGCAGAAGAAAAAAAAAAAAATCACTGAAGCAAATAGGCCAGTGCCACAGGAAATGTGTAGCACTTATGGACCCAGCCTTGATGTCTTCGTCATCCGTAAATTCAAGGAAATAATTCTTGCTTGTTTCCTTCCTCTCAAAGATACTGTGAGGCAAGATGCCAAGCCATCTAAACGCACTGAACAAAAGAGGATGCCACAAATTAAAAGCATGGCTTTATGTTCTGCTAGAATTCTTAAAATCAGAGGGTACCAAAGCAAACTTGAAGAGTGTTTTTCAACAGAGCCCATTTCATTCATTTCAGAGATGAAAACTAGAGACATTTAAAAATGTCGCTGACCAAATGTAAGAAGTGACACAGGAAATTCCATCAGCATTTGAACTGTCAGTCTCCAATTTTAGACCCGTGACTATAACGAGGGTCTGTTCAAGGTGATCTTGTCCAAATGTGTGAATATTTGTGCTTTAGGTTCCTATGATTAACCTAACAGAATTCTGACCAACATTTCTTGGACATCAATGTGGAATATCACATTATAGGAGTGATATAATCATATGTAATCAAATGTTTTATGATGATTAGCAACTTTACTGATATTAATAAATGGAGTTGAGACTTGTCTAAAAGCCTTCACTTTTACATCAAAATAGATAATACCCACATAGAACTGAGGAAAATAATCCAACACTAAGTCAAGAGTCATTCTAAGCACTGAAGATATCCGGTGTAATGTACAAGCTCCCTTTCAAAAGGAAGTAAGAACTTTAACCTATATAAGCTGGGTCCCAACAAAGAGTAGAGTTTATTTTCTTTTTAAATAGGAAATTACAAAAGGATTGCTTCATACAGAACACGGTTAGTAAAATATGAATAAAGGTATATTGTAACTATATGTGCATCATCATACTCCTTATTATATCAAACACCTTATTTGGAAAACTTCAGATATTTAAGCCATGTTTTTGTAATAGGGTTGTTAAACGGCTATCTTTTGTTTAATAAGGGAAAAAAGCATTTGATGTTCAAAAAGGTTATTCCTTATGCCCATTTGAGCAACTATCTCATTGCTGAATTTTGATCATGGCTGGATCTTTAGGTGAAGAAACATTCCAAATAAACCAATTCATTTTCCTATGCATATCAACAAGTTTTAAGTTGTCGTAAATAATTCAGAATATTTGCATAAAGTATGTTTCATCAACGATCCAAAGTTAAGAAAATTTGTCTTATGACCAATTCTCACACACTTTCTTAATCATGACACTGGCATCATTAACCATTTAAATACACTTTTCTAAAGTCTAATCTATATTCCTTTGTGAAACTGGCAAGAAAACATAATTATGTGTCACTGAGACTAATATGTGAATTTCTACAGAAAGATTAGCTTCCAATTTTCCAGAGAGAAAATTTTCTCTTCCTACTGAGGCTAATCAACTTAAGTGAAAAATGGATGGAGTTCCCAGTATGACTTCAAGGGGATGAAATATATATCAAAGACTTGTCTCTCTTCATACTAGTTCCTGCTGACTGCAGTGGGAATTCCCTGTCTCACTCTTTGAGAATAAAATAATGAAATTATTTTCCTATTAATTAAGATGGCAATAGTGTGAAATAGTAATACTAAAACTTATCCTGAAAAATATATGGAAATAAGAATTCTTATTCCCACCTATCATCACTTTCTAGTTTCAAACTAAAGATCAGAGAATTATTTTTATAATATGAAGTATATAAATTATATATTACTTAATATATCATGTGTGATATATTAAGCATTATTTAGGTAATATTTTATGTGCTTTTTTAATTTTCCAACAGTTCATCAAATAGTTAATAATAATATCCATTAAACAATGTTCTTAATAATTGTAATTCATTTTTCATAGTTTCTTAAAGCCTGTCATTATTCTTCATGAGTTACATCTCTCTTTATTGTATCATATATGGAGGTTTTTGTCTGGATACCATAGTTACCTAGTCATGTAAGCAGCTGCCATAATTCTGTTTTCTTCCAATAAACTACTAACTTAAAACTTGAAATTCTATGCAGGCCTTAACCAATGATCATCCCAAACAAGCAAAAAAATATATATTTTTTAATACCTGTCATTAAAATCCCTAGATTAATTAAACTGAAAAAAAAATGTCAGAATCCACACATTAACTCTTTTAAGGACAAGAGCAAGAAGAATAAATAGGACCTTCTAACTATTGGTTCCTTTCTTTATTGTAACGCCCCATTATAAGGTAGGTACTCTTAAGTGAACTAAAGGATATATTTGCTGATAAAGAAGGAAACTGGAATGTCTTCAAATAGGTCTAAAAACTCTTCAACTCCAGCCAGCTCTTTTTATGTATTACCATGGTTATGAATTGTCAAGAAATGATTCTAAAATCTAGGGCAGTGGTTGGCAAACTCTTTAGTCAACAGAGCCAAATAACAGCAATACAACGAATGAAATTTCTTTTGAGAGCCAAATTTTTTAAACTTAAACTTCTTCTAATGCCACTTCTTCAAAATAGACTCGCCCAGGCCGTGGTATTTTGTGGAAGAGCCACACTCAAGGGGCCAAAGAGCCATATGTGGCTCGTGAGCCATAGTTTGCCGACCACGGATCCAGGGAAACTAAGGAAAAAATTTATTGGTCCTGACATCTAAGTCAACTAACAAAGAAGGTATCTTCTGTCTGGTGAACATCTCTGATGTGGAGATGAGGGCCATGTTACAAAGCCATCCTGAGGCCTTCAGGAGAATGGTCAAGGAACTGCTGTGGGTCTAGGTGCTGGTGATGATCTGCTTCCACTGTTTTAGGTCCCAGGTTCTGCTGACACCAGCAACATGAGAAGCTATACTGGAATTGTAATAACATATTGACATATACATATGGCCACAGAGAAATGTTTATTGTTAGCCGTTTTGGGGGGAGCTGTGTCAGCATCCTTGGTTCTGGACTATTAAGGTCTAATCAACAAATTCACACAAACACATAAAAAAAAATCATTGTTCATAATTTCTCTGCCTAAAAAATACACATGACTGAACAAAAATGGAGCAACCACCAATACGTACAGGCATACAGAGATAGAAACACACTCTCAGTCATAGTCTCAGGGAAAGTGTCATGGTAAAGTCAACAAAACAGCTGTCCTAAACAAAGGAAGTGATCCAAACACTTTGAAACTGTATGTTGGTGCAGGAGGCACTGGAAGACTCCCCTCATTTGCAGAGATAGGACAGTAAAATAAAAAATAAAAAAGAATTATGAGAAATCTTAAACTCACTTTTGCAAAAAAAAGTAAGGAAATGCTCATACATTCTCAGTGAGCACACAGTTACTGGCAGGATCCACCAGGGTCCATGTCAAGATTAAAAACAGGCTGAGACATACAGTCTCAAGTTCTTCTGTCTTAATGTCCATGCGTCAAAAAGGTTTCTGGAATGGAGAGTGGGTATTTTCTTATGTGACAATATCCACAAAAGGCTCCATTCCTCCATGTTGAAAGTCAACCTCAAACACATACAGCGTTCAGTTTTAAAACTGAGTGAGCCAGAAACTTGGGCAAGGACTCTGCCCCATTCATGGCGTATACTCAATGCCTCATTCAGTGCCTTGAAAACAACTGACATTCAATAAATATTTGTTGACAAAATAAAAGAACTGATAAACCTTAAAGCTATTACAGTTGATTGGCCACCCAACATGAAAATGTCCATAGTTAATTGGCAAGTGAACATAAAACTCTTTGTTTAAATATACACTAGGATTTATTAAAGTGGAAATACTTCTTTTATCCTTAAGAATAATATTTTGTGCTTAAAAAATTCTGCAGGTATTTTCAGACTGTTGAATCATAAATATCAGCAATTTGAGCACCTTTACTCCACTCTATTGGTACATTTTTTTAAAACTTTACAAAATCATCTGAGTAAAGGGACTCGCAGATTGCCACCAACCATTCATGATTACCTTTGTTACAAAAGAATTCCACTTCTTCACAGCTCAGATTTTCAGGCCCAAATTCTGTGGAAAAGCTTTCCTCCAATGGAAAGTCTCCCTTGGAGATGGTATCTGTTGCCTCGGATGGACACTCTTCTTCTTCCTCTTCGATGGCGTCTTCTAGCGGCCCTTGAAAAAGAATCAGGGACACTGTACCAAAAAATATCCAAAGACAAGAGTGAAATAAAAATCCTTAAGTTGGGTCATTTTATTAAGGTGATGAGAAAAACTCTATGAAGAGACCAAATAGTCCCACCAAGGGTACACACAGAAGATAATGCCACATCCATATTCATCGATAATACCGACCCATAAAGAGAAGTGGAAGGAAACTGTCACCTCCACCTTTTTCCAACCCCCAATTCCAAGCCCAAAACTTACTAGTATTTTTTCATTCTCCCCCGAAGAGCAAAATTGTGCGCCTTATGCTCATTTGTTAGAATTAACTAACCTGGTAAAGAGTACAAGTCTCTTTTACAGGGTTGTACAATTTTACCTGAGATTTTAATAAAGATTTAAAGTAATTGGATGCATTTTAATTGAACTGAGATTTTAATAAAGTCCCTGCTTTTAAAAATCCATCTTAAGAGTGGATCCCAAGAAAAGATTTCATTCTATGTGTTTGAGGCTCAAAGAAAAATTACATATTTCTCTCCCTGATGAAAGCATAGCCCTATTCATAATTAATTGAATTTTTTTCTGAAATGAAAAGTAGTTTTCTAATGAAAAATGTAATTTGTATTTATGTGATACTTTCTTCAGTAATAAAAATACAACTTGCTTTGAGTGAATGAGAGTGAGGTGCAGTCCATTAATGGACCTATTTCACTGAAAGGGAAGGGAGGGCTGCAGTTGTTGGGATGGTCTGAAGTGGACTGCCTGGGAATGCCACACGCTGACTGTGGTTTCTGACTGCCCTAAAGAACTGGCCTTCGAATCGTTTTCACTCAGCTGAAGCGTGCTGTTGCTCCTGAAGAAGCAACATGGCATTTTATCCCAAAAACACAATGATGGGCATTTGTACTAATTGTCACTCATGTCGGCAGTCTCACCAGACAGGCGAAGTACTTAAAAGGCTTATGCAACCTCCTTCTCTTACTTCCTAGTAATGTGCTAGGAGCAAAGAACAACTCATAAGTCAATTACAAATAATGAATGTATTAACACATTTTAAAGGCATTGTTGGTAAACAGAAATAGCTACCTACAGAACAATGGTATACCTGGTATTTTCCCCAAAGCCAGTTTCTAAAGGGCTGAATTCATAGGGCATAGTTTTAAGAAGGGGATTGTTTGCATGGATTTTCTTAAGAAACATCCACGCAAAGAATTTCTTAAGAAATTTCTTTGTCCTTTTTAAAATTCATTTATGTGGGTTTTTTCCCCTTTAAAATAACTGATGTTAAGGGAGAAAGAATGCCCTAATTCCAATGTGTATTCTTATGCTCAAGGTGTTAGGTGGGGGAAAAAAATGGATTTTTATACAAATCACATTCAAGAGTCACGAATCTCATATTAGTTATTTCTTATCATTATTTCAAGTTTGAAACTATAATCTTTCACCTCTTAAAACAAATGTCAAGTAGCAAGTTATGCAAGGAATATATGCGAAGAACAGCCCATAGAACAGTAAAATAGTAACAACATAAACTACTACAATCATTAAGCATTTCTTTGATGGTTCTAATTATTAATTTTGAGTATAATGAGTAATAAAATATTTTCCATATTTTTTTCAAAGCATTTAACTGTAACAATTGTGGACAAAAGAAGACATGTAGGGCTTCCAAAGCACTTTCTTTTGTAAACTCTAAAGTAACCCAGTGAGGGAGTTAAGGGAATTACTACTATTTTTATTTTGGGGATCTGGGAAGTCAAGATCACAAGGTTAGTTAACTAGAATAAGGTTACAAACTAATAAATAAAAAGGTTGCTGTGAGAAATATATGCTTGAAACCTGTATAAGGTTATTAACCAATGTAAGCTCAATTAAATTTAATACAAATTCAAGATTTTAAAAACACCTTTTATTAACATATCATACTACTATGCAAGCCAGTCTTTAGTAGTTATAAACATTATAAAATATAGGTTAACTCATAAATGCTTAAAGATCTAATCTTTAAAAATTGAGAAACCTCTTGTTACTCTTCTTATGTTACTGAGACTATAAACTACAAAATATCAGACAACAAATGACAGCCATCATTTAGTACACTTTACCAACACTAAAATAATTGACTACTAGTACTTAATTATTTATATATTTTATATCCATACTAAATCAATCTGTACAGTAATGGCCTTAATATCAGATATAATAGAAATGACAATGCATACTTTTTTAAAATATATAATCTGCCTTTAAGGCTAACAAAAAAAGATGTCTAATTATAAAATAAATATTTTAATAGTTCATATATATTTTAGCAAATTCTTTTTATTATTTCTGGCTGCTCTTCAAATATTAAAGTCTATATATTATAAACAGAAGGGATGCATATTATAAGAATAAAATCAATAGCAATAAAATGCTTCCTTTTTAAGAAATGAAATTCCAAACATATGTGCTATCATTCTTAGATGGGTTTTATTAAAGATAATATGTAATTGAACAATTATTTAAAATACTCAATAACTTTAAAAATTGCCTCCTATACTATCAAATCAAATTTAAGTTTTATTAAAGATTAAAAGGAAAAACTCGTGTGAAAATTTAAAAGGAAGCAAATCTACAAAACTGCTCATTTATCAAAGGTTATAATAAAACTAGAGGCCTGATGCATGAAATTCATGCGAGAGCAGGCCTTTCTCCCCCCCCCCCCCCCCCCCCCCAACGCCGGCTGCCGGCACTGGCTTCCCTCTGGCCACTGGCAGGCACCCGGGACCTGGACTCCCCTCTCAGGCCCAGCTTTGTTCATAAGGATGTACGATCTATTATAATTAGCATATTACGCTTTTATTATTAAGATCTTAATTGATAGTATAATATTCCATTTTCCAGGGACTGTTTTATGTGTTGGCTATCAATTCCAATTCCAGGCATATAAATGAAAGCAAGCACTTATTAAAACATAATAATAATAAACAAACAAATAAATAAATAAATAAAAGGTGAAAAAATTTTTGAGTTCATTGTTCAAAATACACAAGATCTCAATGTTGTTATTTAGAACAAGCCACAGAAGAGTGCCTTAATGGCCAGCTGGTATTTCTCCCGAAGCACGGGTCAGATTTATATAATTTAGTCTACTTTAAAATGTGAAATTACTAACCCTTTAGTCACGCTATCATATCAGGATCTGGGGGAGCGGGGAGGAAAGGGTTTCTCTTAAAATGCACAGAGTATTTGTAGTTTAAGATCAGCTCTCCCTCTGCTGTCTACATTGCATGTTTCTTTAACAGGAAACGCTTACATTTAATTCATGGCCATAAACCAGTGTTTTGAAAAGGTGAGAGACACTTGCAGCCCAGCACACAATTAACAGCACCAATGAAGGGGGGAATGAGGGCACCTCCTGTGTATGGATTAGTGGGCACAGAAGTCCACTTCAGAAAGCCACCACACATAATTTGACACAAATAATAATATCTGCTCAGAAAAGGCTCACAACTGAGTTGCATGTGCCCTCATGGAGAAAATTACTTCTGATTGAGGCCCCTTGGCAGGCAGGCATAAGGAAATCTGAATTCCAGCTCTTCGATTGCGTCTGATTCCTAGATATCCAAACAACACACTCCCCAGAATTAATCACCTTAAGTGCGTGTCAATGTAAACACTGACTTCATTTGAAAATGCTAAACACTAGCTGTACGTCCTAAAGCAGTGAACACAGCAGTGCTATAGGGCGGGTCCACATTGTCAGAATGAGTAGGCCCCTTACTTTGTACTGGATGAAAAGGGAGGTTACTGGGAGCTTCTGGTGGGTGCGGATGGACACTTCTATCTTCAGAAAGGGAGAGTACTGGGCACCATTTGAGTGGACCTCAGCGACCTTTGCCCTGGAGATGAAGTGGAAGCAAGAAGGGCAGTACAGATTGGCAACCCCTGGCCATACCGATGCCAGTCCAATGCTTGGCGAAGCCTTTCGTTTTGCAGGTACTAATGGCTACCTTGTAAAAGCTGGACCTAAGGGTGGCAGAATTTTTCATGTGGGGGTAGTTTCAAATATCTAGAGTAGGCAATGGGTAAATGGGACGTTTAAGATGAAGTAGTCCTACTACATACACTGGTAGCATGATTGTTGAATGAAATAAAAGTAATAATTGGGTTTGTATGCTTAAGAAGCAATTTGAGGAGTAATTCCTTGCCAGATAAATGAAGTCATAGGGGGGGGGGGGGGAAATCAATGGCACAAGTTCAGGAAAAGACAGAGCCACACACTGGAGTAAGAGCTAGAAGATGACAAGGAACATTTTAGGGAGAAATAGAAAAAGATGTAGAAGAATTCAGAGGAAAAGGGATTGAAATAAGCGGTACAATGAGAAAATGCAGGAAGTGATAAAGATCAACACAGTTAAGTTATTCAATCCAATATATGTGTCTTTAAACCTCACCTCAATAAATACCTTCCTCCCTTTGCAGCCTGATCTAAATGTCTTATTATCTTTGTTCCTATGAGTTCAAAGCACTTCTGAATGAGGCAGTCAAGAAAGAAATTCAATCCTACAGAAATTAATATCCATGGTCAAGGAAGAAGAGGGGAAAGAACTTCCAAATTCTATGGTTTTGTTGCACTCTCGCCCGAAAGGGTTCCTTTTTTCTTTGCCACTCACTGGCATTAATTTATTAAACATTATTTTAGTTGGGTTTCGCATGCCTTTGGGTTAAAATAAAACAAACAGTTCACAATGGAACTGTGGAGAGCATTCACTCTCCTCTCCCTGCATTAATATTCTAAGCATTTTGGAGGCTGCACAAGACTAGCCACCTAGCAAAATGAGACTGTTTCAGAATGCTGGGCAGCCTTGATTGCAACTGACAGGTGGGAAAAAGTCACATTAAAATATTATCATTCCCAATAATTACAATAATCCATCACAGCGTGCTCAGAAATTCTGCCGGGTGAATTTCACCCGAAAACACGCAAATATTTCCAAACCTTTTTTATTCTGGTGCTTCTTAATCTA